TCCAGTGGTGTTGGACTAGCTTTGAGAGCGAGGATGGGAGCGCGTCGGTGCTGGGCAGGATGAGGAGGAGATCCCAGTGGATGTTTCGGGCGAGGAGGTGTTCGGTTGAGAGCTTCGATGGGAGGATTATCCAGCGGATTACGCGTGAGATGACGAGTGGTGAGATGTTGGCGGACTTTAAGGTGGACAGGAAGGTTAAGATGGGGTTGGGTGTGGTGCTGTGGAGGGCGACGAGATGGAGTGTGCAGAGCGGCATTTTGGAGGGGAATTGACGTGATCAGATGTTTATCTGTTTCGCGAATACAATGCTCAGACGGCGGACAAGGAGTAGTATAGATGTTCGTAGTGTTAGGTGGATGACGTAAGTTGACTCTACTTTACCGAGGCTCAATTGTGAGGAGCTGTGGTATGAGCTCCTCGGAGCTGCATCCATTAGCTGAGCTCACGCCCTGTCGTGCACTGCTGGTATGTCTGCACCATCTCATCGAACATAAAGCTCCGAGTGCTTGTAGCGGATAAGCTCTACTCCGGAGTAGGGGAAGGTGCACCACTGCGGGGCGTCTCACCAGACATGTGGATCAAGACCACAGGACTGTCCATGTCCACCGTCGCAATCACAGTGATTAGGAAGCATGAAAGAGGATGTGTAATGTTGCAAGTGCAGTGAGATGCGCAGACTCATAGAAATTACCTAGGTAGGTAAGCAATGCAGCCTGCCTTGTGGTCTCCGATTGGACGTTCGCGCTACTGGTACATATCTGTGACGTACGTTCCTGCTAGTTGTGCCCAGGTGGAGCTGTAGGCAAACGCGATTTCAAAGCGGCAGCAGCCTGGCAACTTCTGCATATATCTGCATCGGCACCGACTGTGTTCTTGCCTTCCACTGATCTCCTCAGCGCGATCTCATCTATACTCTAATCATGCCGAAGCTCTTCATGTAGGTTCAGATGCATGCTCCTACCGATCGATGAAACACGGGCGACATGCAATTGTATTTGATTCTAGATATGTGAGTGCTAACTAAATTCAGCACCGGCGCTACTGGCTACATCGGAGGCGATGCCCTCTACGCAGTAGCAAACACCTATCCGGATCTAGAGATCACCGCACTTGTTCGAAACAGCGACAAAGGAGCTAAGGTCGCAGCACAGTACCCAAAGACCCGTCTTGTGTACGGCACCCTTGATGACACCGAGTTGCTCACTACCGAGGCGTCCAATGCAGACATCGTCCTCCATTGCGCCGACTGCGACCACGTGGCTTCCGCCAATGCGTTGGTTGCTGGTCTCACACGCAGCGGAAAGAAGACCTATCTCATCCATACCTCTGGAACTGGTGTCTTGTCTTTCGAAGACTTTGAGACCAACACCTATGGCATGAGGCGAGAGAAGGTCTATGATGACTGGGACAACATTGGTGAGGTCACTTCACTGCCTGATTCAGCGCTCCATCGAAATGTCGACAAGATCATCCTTGGATCGAACGATGTTTCAGCAGGCAACATACAGTCTGCCATCGTCTGTCCACCGTGTATCTACGGACCTGGACGTGGCCCCGATAACCAAAAGAGTGTGCAGGTGTATGACATGAGCAAGGCCGCACTGAAGCGCATGAAGGGTTTCGTCGTTGGTGACGGCAAGAACATGTGGACTCAAGTTCATGTTCAAGATCTCAGCGAGGTGTTCCTAGCCCTTGTGACAGCCGCTCTGTCGCCTGATGGTGGCAAAGCGACCTGGAACAAGGAAGGATACTATTTCGCAGAGAGCGGAGAGTTCTGCTGGGGTGACATCGGTACCAAGATCGGGGAGATCGCATTCAAGAACAAGCTCATCAACCATGAGGGAGTTGACAACGTCAGCAAAGAGGAGGCAGACGAGATGAGGCCAATGGGCAGCTACCTTTGGGGTGAGTCATGCTGTGTTCTCGGATATGCCGTTTTCTGACATCCTAGGCACCAACTCTCGCTGCAAAGCTATTCGAGCCAACAAGCTGTTCGGCTGGACTCCCAAGCAGAAGAGCGTGTTCGATCTGCTACCAGAGATCATCGATGGTGAAGCGAAGGCGATGGGTCGCATTAGGCAGCACGCTGAAGAAGCTGCTGAGGGACGTATCATGAAGTAGTCGTATGCCAGACCAGCCTTCAAGGCAAGGGAGAGGCGTGTCGGATTTCAGTCAACATCGTGGCGAGAACGCTGTAGTGATGAAGCAACAAACATGTGGTAGCATAGCCTCTCATGGAATTCGTATTGTGCGCATGTCCTGGTATTGTGGTTAGGAGTGAACGATGCCCAGGTACTGCCCGCATCTGCCCCGCGGCGGAACTCCACATGTCTGCCCACTGTAGGTGATCACACGACCAACAACATCGAGGAATAGTAGGATGCAGTGGCAGATCATCGAAGGGTACTTGATGCAATGTAACTGAATAGTCGATGTGTAAGCTCCGAAACGTCGTGGATGTAGTCGCCTTGGCGCTGTCATGTTCCTGAGCTCTCGCGCTTGAGCCACGTTCCTAGCTTGCCTTGACCAACGAACAACCGCGTCGACATGGAAGAGCGAGTGAGACAACGACTCCCTTATAATTTCCTCGCGACCATGGATATCATACAGGCCGTCTCCGGCTACATCACCAAGATGGTGTCGGTCGGGGACAGCGCTGCGACAGGCACCTCCGCGGCCAAGATGAAGATCCTCCTCCTCGACAACGAGACTGTGGGTTTGTCTGCTCTCCCAGGTGGCTGTACACACGTTACTCACACTGCTTAGGTCCCCATCGTATCGACTGCGACAACACAGTCCGCCCTCCTCAACCATGAAGTCTACCTTACCGAGTACCGCACCCTCGCGATCCATGATGCAATGCACGGCTAACTGGTCGGCAGCCGCCTCGACAACCCAAAGCGGGAGAAGATGCGCCATCTCCGCTGTCTATGCTTTGTGCGACCGTCGCCCGAGTCTATCCAGAACCTCATCGAAGAGCTGCGAGAGCCCAAGTACGGGGAATACAACATCTGTACGCGGCTGGAAGAACACGGCGCTACGTACGCGTGCTGATGCAGACAGACTTCAGTAATATAATCAAAAAGTCCTCGTTGGAGCGCCTCGCCGAAGCAGACGACCACGAAGTCGTGCGCGCGATTCAGGAATACTTCGCCGACTTCCTCGTCATAAACCCCGATCTCATGTCGCTCAACCTCGGATTTCCCGACCATCGGATATGGAGCACAAGCCCGGATGCGTGGAATCAGGATGCGCTACAGAGGTCAACAGAGGCAGTCATGGCGTTACTTCTGTCGTTGAAGAAGAAGCCTTTGATACGATACCAGAAGAACAGTCTGCTCGTGAAGAAGCTGGCGACCGAGGTTCGCTACCACATGACACAGGAAGAGCAGCTGTTCGACTTCCGCAAAACAGATACCCCGCCTATACTTTTGATTGTCGACCGAAGAGACGATCCGGTGACACCGCTGTTGACGCAATGGACGTATCAGGCTATGGTTCACGAGCTGCTCGGAATACACAATGGGCGGGTGGACCTACGCGACGTGCCGGAGATACGTCCCGAGCTCAAGGAGATTGTGTTATCGCAGGAGCAGGACCCGTTCTTCAAGAAGAACATGTATCTCAACTTTGGTGATTTAGGGCAAAACGCGAAAGAGTATGTCGAGCAGTTTGCGTCAAAGCAGCAGGGATCGCAAAAGCTCGACTCTATTGCCGATATGAAGCGCTTCATCGAGGACTTTCCGGAGTTTCGCAAGCTTTCCGGTAACGTCACCAAACACGTCACACTTGTCGGTGAGCTGAGCAGACGAGTTGGCGAGGAGAGTCTACTGGATATCAGTGAGCTCGAACAGAGCCTGGCATGTACAGACAACCATTCCAACGACGTCAAATCGCTGCAAAGGATCATCCAAGATCCAAAGGTCCCGGCGAACAACAAGCTCCGGCTGGTTGCCATCTACGCGTTGCGCTACTCAAAGACCTCGTCAAACTCCACAGCCATGCTGCTTGACTTGCTCGCTGTTGCGGGTGGACTGTCACGGCATCGCATTAACCTCATCACAAAGCTGTTGACCTACCATGACTCGCTGCAAGCGACTACGGCGGCAGGTGGAGTGCCGGACCTTTTCCAACCTGGGTCATTCTTCGGAGGTGCCCGAGATCGACTCAAGGGCTTGAAGGGTGTTGAGAACGTCTACACACAGCACTCGCCTCGCTTAGAGGCTACGTTGCAGGACATGATCAAGGGTCGTTTAAGCCAGCAGCTGTACCCCTTCGTCGAGGGTGGCGGATCGACAAAGGACAAGCCGCAGGACATCATTGTCTTCATGGTCGGCGGCGCAACATACGAGGAAGCTAAGATGGTTGCGCAAGTTAATGCTAGTTCCCCAGGTATCCGCGTCGTGCTCGGCGGCACCACTGTGCACAATAGCACTTCCTTCTTGGAGGAAGTAGAAGATGCCGTCGACTCGTGGCCCGAGCCTCCCGCTACATCAGCTGCAGCTCGCCTGAAGAGAGAAGTAGGTAGATAGTCGATATCGTCTTGCGAGAGCGAGGTAATGATTTGGGAGTTGGGCGTCGAAGCGAGTGGCATCAAATGCAGGTTCATATTACACGGGTTGATAGAGTTGCCTCATGAATACCACAATCATCTCAATAGTGTCCGTCAGCACAGTGCATGCCCCGCGCTAAGGGTCGAGATGCATCCCACCAAGGCCCACATCATTCGTTTCAAGCCGGCCCTGAACAGCAGCGCGGCCTATAGGTCGCAGTCAGCAATCAATTGTTGGGCGGTACCTGCATGACTCCGAAGGCGGCGAAAAGTCTGCTAACCTGCTCGGAGCCAAGACGATGCGACAAGGCTGAACACGTGCATCATCACCAACAGGTGTTAAAGTCATCGGGGTTCCCTTACGGGCCGACATCCGATCGCTCACTCCACCACCTCAGCCACCTTCAAACCTCACCCACACATGGCGCGAAAATGAGGATTGCGAGACATGCCAGAACAAGGACAGGTCTTGCAGTCTCGAGTGGTCCGCCGGAGAAATCCACGCCCCATCAACAGCTGCGTTGAATGCCGCACCCGGAAGTCGCGATGCTCCAAGACGCACCCTTGCCAGAACTGCACAGCCTTCGGGCGCGAGTGCATCTTCATCACCGTCCCTGAGAGCGCTGCGCGCAAGAAAGAGAGGGAGCAGAGAGAGCGCGCACAGAGTAAGAGTGGCGCTGGTGTCACCATCCCGGACTGGACCAAGAACCTCCCCGTGCGCACGCAGAGTAGTGCAAGTGTGCATGATGGGTACGAGAACGCGAACTCCGTCGACACCACCACGCCGGGCACGCCTCCGCGAGACTATGAATGGGAAGCCTACCAGCAGGATGTCGAGCCCGAAACGGATGCCTGGGAGAGACTGCCCGCAGAGCCTGAAGAGACGCAGGACGATGTGTACGAAGACGAGAATGACGATGAAGATCAGATTGCGACGGATCTCACGATTCGAATCGGGAGGATGATCATCTGTGAGAACGTCACCGGATTTTTCCGCCCCCAATACGCCGAAGAGGTACTTTTTGCCCTGTCCTCATCTTTTGTCCCGCGTTTACGTTGCCTTCCCATGACCGCAGACTGAATTGTTGTGTAGCTCGGCAAGCTTCTGTCTGAGAGCTTCACCCCGTCGTCATCAGTCACGGGCCAGAGAGCGACACAGTCGTCTGCTCTGCTGTCCGCAGAACAGATGCCGTCTCTTGCACCATCGCTGAATCTGCTGCTAGGTGGCTCGTTGCCTCTACATCAAAACAATGATGTGGAAGCACCGCAGTTACCGACTAAGATGGAAGCAGAGGGACTACTACAGCGATACACAGAAGCGGTCAGCCCTCTTGCGCACGTGTTGCATCTTCCGTCGTTCAAGCGCATGTTTGACCGCTTCTGGATGAATCTTGAGATTGGGAATCCCAACCAGAATTCATGTACTGCCTTGATATTGGCCGTGTGCATGGCTGCTGCGGCGTCTGTATCACCTCTGCAAGCCAAGTCGCAATTTGGCATCACGAAAGAGGACCTGTTCTTGCGCTTACAAAAGGCTACGGAGCGGGCATTGCTTCGTGCTAACTGGGCGAAGACGTCCAATATACGGACCTTGCAAGCCTTGACGATCTATTTGGTACTTGAACCGACATTCTTGATAAAATTCGAGCAAACTAACACATACAGATACCCCTCTGTCGAGCGCAAATATCTCGAGCGACGTCTGTCGTAGTTGGTGCTCTGGTTCGCCTGGCACAGTGTATAGGCATACATCGCATGAGCCACAGCTCAGCCAACAGCCTAACACCTCTACAACGACACGTTCGATCGCTCTTGTGGTACCAAATTTGCTTCTTGGACTTCAAGACAGCCGAAGCGCAGGGGCCCCATCCATCCATTCGATCAGACGATTTCGACATTGCGCTCCCGTTAAATGTAGATGACGACGTCTTCGAGTTTGGCAGTGCAAAATGGCAACAACACCCCGCCTCCACCACCGGCTGGTCAGACGTCACTTTATCGCTGATACGCTACGAATGCAACGAAATCCACCGTCTCATCTTTCGCGGCAGAATCGAGATGGACCGTAAGCACATCACGCTCCACGATCTGCGCGCCCGCGTAGAGGCCAAGAAACGTCAAATTCAAAGCAAATACTTGCAGTACCTGGACGCCAATGTTCCTATCCAACGTTATGCAGGCCTTGTAGCAACGCTCCTGATGTCTCGCTGCGATTCCATGCTCCTCTACCGGCACCTTCCGCAAACCTCCCTGCAACCACGCTCAGAATCCGAAAACCGCCTCCGCGACGTCCTTCTCACAGCAGCTCTTACGACGCTCGAAATTGGCGCAACGCTAGACACACTGCCCTCGCTCTCGGCATGGGCCTGGTACTCAACGACCTACCAACAATACCACGCCGTCCTCCTCCTCCTCACAGAACTCTACCGCACACCCGACCTCCCCCGAAAAGAGCGCATGGCCACCATCATCGACCACATCTTCGGGCACTGCTACGGCGTCGGCGTCCGGGAACGCTGTTCCGACCTCCTCTTCACCGTCAAAGAAAACCTAGAAGCCTTCTACGTAATGAAAGGCTTCAACAAAAAGCGCCAACAAATCGCTCCCCAGCAACATCCCACTCTTCAGCCCCTCCCCTCCTTCGGCGGCTCCGTAACGAGTCCCGCGTTTGGCGCGCAGCAGACGCCGAGTAATATGCATGGCCATTTGCAGAGGACGCCTACGTCCGGTACGCTGGATGGCCTGAATGTGGATTTCGATAGTATACTCGGGAGCTTGAATGGTGGGGGCGGCGGCGGGGCTGGTGCTGGGTCGGCGGAGGATTACGATGTCTGGGGTGGTATGAGCGCTGGTGCGGGTCAGGATACGGGGGCTATTTTTGTGCCGGTGGATACGGGACATCATGCTGAGTTTGGGACTACGAGTCCGAATGGGGGGTTGCAGCAGTGGGTAAGTCATCCTTCAGCTTTTGTGATGGTTGCTCAGATGTGAGGGAATTGTGCTAATGTTTGTCTAGGAGAACTGGAATTTCCCGCCTCAACAGCAGAAGTACGAGCATTAATTGGTTGGTGTAGTGTGGTGTTTACGGAAAATGCTCGTGTTCGAATAACGCGAGTAGCATATATCTGGTTAGTCTGTTGATTGAAATAGACACGAGTTCATCTCAAGTTCACGAATGTTTCTGGTCGTATCAAGATCTCATTCATCCTGGGGATCTTCATCGACTGTACACATACACATTCACTTCGCTTCTTTGATTGTTTAAGAGATGTATTGAGGTTGAGCCCTAGCACCTTGCTACAATTGGACTTGTGTCCCAAGCTCGACACGTAGACGCTGTGATAAGTTCCACCCAGCTCCAAAACGCCATGACACTGGTGCTTGATGTTCCTTCCAATGTAACGCCATATACGCCTGACCGCACTGCAGTCGAGAATGCAGATCTGATTTTCCGCCAAGCAAGTCGTGAACAGCATGTCGATACGTCAAATGTTGGCATCACCAGCTGGTGTTCCTGACAGTGGAAGACATGAGCTCTACGACAAACTTGTTAGCCAAAGAGAAAGACAAGAGGAAGATGGCAAGTGCTAGTAGCGTGCTACTTGAGATTCACTCAACGCACTTCGCTTCATTGGCGGCGGAGGTGGCGGCGGCTTCTTCGCCCTCGATGGAGGTGGTGGCGGAGGTGCCTTCTTGCCGCCGTTGGTCGCCTGCTCACCCGCCTGGGACCAACTCGCTGCTCGCGACATGACGCCGCCGCGCCCACTGCCAACAGATGACGAGGTGTCGGGGCTAGGCGGCGATCGATCACGGTCACGTCTATACCCGTTTCCGTTGGATGGCGCATAATCGTCTTCGTAGTCGTCAGCAAACGTGTTCTGTTGGCTGGCGCTAGCTTGTCGGACTGGACGGAGATTTGTTCGGCCGGAGGATATGACGGAGGAATCAGTGGGGACGCGGGACAGTCGGCGGGCAGGGGAGTCGTCTCGGTAGCCATTGTTGTTCTCGTAAGTCGAAGTGCGGCTAAGAGAGGGGCGTAGGGAGTAGCCACCGGGCGACTGCTCGGGGCCAGGGGAGCGGCTTCGCTGGGACGAAAGCTTAGGAATGGTCATGCGAGCGGGCTCAGGCTCGGGTTCTTCTTCGACTGGGTTGAAGCGCTCTGCGTAGCCGTGTGCGGTATTGGATCGGGAGCGCGCGGGGCGGCTAGGCATAGCCCTGGTGTCCCTGTGTCATGTGTCAGAAATGTGCTAGGTCTTATGCTGATCGGAATGTCCTCACCTAGCCGGCCATTCCCGCTTTACGTTGAGCAGAATCTCACGACAGCGGTCGTAGTAGCTCAGTTCTGCCTCGAGGAAAGCAGTCAGGTCCTGGACCATGTCGACTTCTGACTCCTTGATGTCTTGCATCCTCCGGAAGACCTCTTCGCTGGTCTCCTCGTATTTGGCCTTTTGGGCACGTAGTTCCTCCTCCATGCGGAAGTCTTCCTTCTTCGTCTTCTGCATCTTGGCGAGGGAGGTGTCATAGGCCAGACGGCGTGTCTCGAGCTTCTTGCGGGTAGACTGAGACGAATTAGCTTCCATGCCCGCAATTGTTCTGATGCTGCCGTACCTGGTACTCCTTCATCTGAATCAAGGAGCGTTCAAGACCCTCGAGCCATGATGACGTAGCCCCTTGGACATACGTCTCCTGTACTCGCGCCAGACGTTCGTTTGCTCGACCCAGTGCTGCTGATAGTTAGTACGCAGACAGGTGCGATTGGCGTGGAAACGCACAAGACAGGCAATTGCCAAACTCCGAGTCGGGCTCAAAGTCCTCGCCGTGGGTCACCATGGAGGAACCCAGATGGCCACCTGGTAGCTGCTTCTCCTTGTCGGCGCCCTCTGCGCGCTTGGAGAGCGACTTGACGTAGACAGCCATTGCGCCGTGCATCTTGTCCATGCCTGGAAAAGTGTCAGTATGCGAGGCTGGAGCTGCTGCAGGGCGCGGACTCGTGCATACCCTCATGACGCAGGTTCATTTCCACTTCGAGCGCCTTGAACTCGTCGGAGAGACCAGTGCGGGCCTCTGCGCCCATCTTCTCGTTGGTCCATTGCTTCAGGCGGTCGAATTTCTTGTTGATGTTCATGATTGCGGTGCGGTGTGCGTGGGTGTCGTAGGGAAGCGTGCAAGCAGCAGAATGACGAGGGGGCTGCGGCGTGCGTAACAAGATATGGGCCGTGTGCAGGGTACAGCTATCGATACCACCAGGGAGGCAGGCGCGGGACGATCAACACCCGGCGACAGAGACCAAGTGGTGCAAAAGGAGGGAAAAGAGGAATGGATGCCGCGAGATAGTAGATAGTAGAAAGTAGAAGTCAGGAGGAGAGTTCGCAATGGCGGGCGTCCTACGGCAAAAGTTGAGAGCCAACGCGTGTCAATATACAGCAGCAGGCTAAGCAGGCGCGACCCTGACCCATTATTCCAGAAACCACAGACCGTCTAGGTGCCCTCCAACGGCGATCAGCGTCGCCCAAAGACGCGGCCCAGCCAGTCCTGACACAGCGGGACGACATGTCGCTATTCCGGGGTTTGCCGCCCTAATGCTTCCGCCGGGCGCCCCATCTACTCACCACAGCCAACCCCTCCACTATCGCCTTTTGTAGGCATGCCCCCCGTTTCACCCGTCTTGCCATACATTGCCCACCGTTCTATTCCTGGCAGCCTCCGTCATGGTTTGCGCAATCACGCTCCGTCTCATGGATGCTGAGTTTCACCCTCGCCACCGTACCAAGGAAGCGTCTTTCTTAGCTACTCTCTGTTCTCTGCCCGACTTCACCGAGCAAATCACCGGAATCAGCAGTAGGCTCCTGTTCGGATCCTCTCCTATCGCGCAGCAATGGGGATTCGATAGACCTACAGAAGCGCATGTTGGCTGTCTAGTGCGCCGTCCAGACTCTTCAATATGCAGCCATAAAGGACGCGAACCCAATCTCCTTCCCTTATCTGGTCAAGCGGTCTTTTCGGCAAGCGCGATATATCACCTGGCCTCTGAAAGCAACGCGATATAGCTGGAAAGCAATCCTTCTACACTGTAAGCTACCTTGGCATATGCAGTCAATGTGCTCGCCATCTCATATGACTGCACTGCGAGCATCCGCTCATCACGGTGCCAGCGTCTGTTCATTTTGACAAACTTCTGTCGTATTGCATTCATTACTCACGACATCAATAAAGACTGACAGGAAATCGAGACAACATGTCCTAATTTGCCTCGAGACGATTACCTTTCAGCTCGCCCCGCCATACAAACCGCGTGCACGTGACTTGACAAGCGCCGTCTCTTCGGCCAGCTGGAACTTCAACCTCAAGTTCGCGACTCTCCTCAGCCAAGGCAACACCACTTCAACTGCGCTCTCGCATTCGCTTGTATTCCGCGCAGTCGGCTTCTTTCGGCGCATTGTTTGCCCAAAGTAGGTTTCTTTATTCCAAAAAGTCCCGTCCGTCTCAAATCATACGAACGCATTTGATTCATTTCTGATCGCGCTACATCATGGCGCAATGGTTCCATTGCTAGAGAAGGTACTGTGAGGACGTCTACCACAAGGAGTGGACAGACATGCGCTGCAACTTCAGGACTGGGCGGACTAGCCCGAAGTTGCGACGAAAAGCGCGACGCACATGGGCGCGCCTGCAGCCAATACGTAACGCTTGCGAACACGAAGAAACTCCCAGTGCTCTCATGAGCATATTACCTGGTGTCGCCTTTCTTTCATCTACTTGACATCTATTGTGACGCCTATACAAGTCAAGAGGAGGACCGAATGGGCAGAGGCTGACCTATACTTATAAGCAACACCAGAGCATCTATGGAAGGTCTCGCGCTTTGGTCGCGAGTTTGCCATGTCCACTTGTCGAGCGTTCCCCCGCCCGATCAGCGCTTTCAAAGGGACCTACCAGCCACATCAGCACAACCGCCCTAAACCTGAACACCGCCATTGTGCAGTGGAGCGCTTTCAAGGAACGAAAGCCTGACACAACTCAATCTCGCCGGTACACTTGCACCCCGAGGTGCGATTGCGCGTCTCGAATCATGTCTCAAAGGAGTGCCCTCGACCCCCTTCTGGGCCCGGAACAGAACATCAAGAAACGGTAGGATACTTATAAGCTGCCGACTTTCTTAACAACAGCATTGCGAGTTGGGCGGGATGCGACCATACGATCAGACTTGTGAGCAGGAAGTTCTGGTGGAAGCTGTGGTGAAGAGACGGCGCGCTTGATAGCTGCCCTTGGCCGTGGTCTCACTATATGCGAAATGAGATATCGCTGCAGTACTTCACGAACATCACGTATATAGCCGAATCAAACTCCCAGACTACAGAAGTTGCCCTGATTCCATCGCTGCTCTGATATTGCTACCTTTTGACGCTTGTTTTGTCAAACAAAGATGCCCTGGTGAACGTGTCCATTGTCCTGCATTGCAGGGACCCAATCAGTCGATCTTTGGGCTAGCGAAAGTAGCATTACCTCATGCCTGCCTAACCGTGCTCTGTTCGTAGTTCCTCTCCTCGTCCCGCAACTGCAGCCGCAACTACCACCACCAACATCAACCCCCAAACACCACCAACCATGGCCGATTCCGATTCTTCGCTGTCCTCTGCGCCCCCGACCGACGACGAGATGGAGGTCGAGGTTTCGGAAGCAAGCGCTGCAAAGGCCGTACCTCAGAAAAAGAAGAAGAAGAATGGCACAATCTTGACCTTTTTCAAGCATCGCTCGCCCTCGCCGCCTCCACGAAAACGAGCGCCTTCTCCACCGCATGAGGCCGTACCAGAGGATAATCCAGACATTGCTGTACGTGTTGGACGCGTCCGTCGCGTCGTGACGCGCCGCATTGCACCGCAATCGCGCATAAATCCTCCACCCAGACATCGCTAATGCCATGCGCTATAGTTCATTGTAATGTTTCGGTCGCGCTTCAACGAAGCCTTTCCTCGCGGTTCGCCTCACGTAGGGCCTCAAGACATCGAACAGGGTGTTGCGGAGGAGACGCCGTCCGCCGATGTCGAAGGCTTACTATGCGCC